AAACCGTTAAGAATTGAAAACGTTATCACGGTTTTACCCTTCCGCCGAAGGCGTTTGCCTATGCGCAGGCCGCCTACGCGCAACCCGCCTACGCGTAGGCCGCCGAAGTCCCTCCATATCAAAAACTTCCGCCGCTCCTAACTCGGTGATGCCTTATCCGTTTCAAGAGTTCTTGGTCTCGTTGGAACGAGCGTCACGAGGTCTTTCCAACAAGACCCTAACTGATTCAAGGCGTCACACATTGAAAACGTTATGAGAGTTTCACTTTTTCGCCGAAGGCCTTTTCCGAAGGGACTTCACCGAAGACCTTGCCCCGAAGGCCCCCTTCCACACCTTGTGCCCCTTAACCATCACACCAACTCCTAATCTTGCCAAAACTTTCAGAAAACCCCAAGCATAATTTTGCAAGAGATTAAATCCAAACTTTTAACTCTCATAAGGGTAAAAAGACATGTGAGCACAGTTTTGTGCTCACACCCCACCAAGCTTAGGTTGGCCAATGTACGAGCTCGCACAAAGATGAAAGCGAGGCGGCTATTAATCGAGGATGACAGCAGCACCGAAGTCAATGTCGCTGCTTCGCAAGGCCTACTCACTTCGGCAGAGTGGGCGGAGTTAGAAGCAGATGTTGCAGGGACAGAAGAAGAAGAACCTTCGGTCTTCAGAGTGGAAAGCTTCAGTAGTACCAGAGAAAGACGCGCCAAAGGAAGCCGAAGAGAAGAAAGCAGATAATGAGGTGGAGACCCTGAGGCAGAATCTGAGACCTTTGACCAACACTGTTGTGTACACCCCATCAAGAAAGAAAAAATTAGAAGTATTGTCGGTGTCATTAGACATAGAGGAGGACCCCATTTTGTTGGAAGAATTAGTGGATAGAGAAGCAGAAGTAGTAGCGAGAGATGCTACGAAGCAATCGCCGGCTTCCCCTCGGACCTCTACAAGAATTGTCATCTTGGAGACTGGAGACGATCCTTCGGCGGAAGAGACTTAGTCGGGCAAAATCAATGCCGTGGATGTACTGTGTGCGCAGGTGGTCCCCATACTCCGTTATCTAGACGAAAAGTTGGAGAAGTATGCTAGACCATCCGACGTCGTATCTTACGTGGACCTAGTGCGTAACAAGATGCGGACGAAGATGGTCGCATCCACAGCGACAGCTAAGCAGGTAGAGAGTTTGATTGCGGAGTGTGCAGCGGCTAAGGCTTCGCTTGAGGAGAAGTAAAAGCGACTTCAAGAGTTAGAGTTGGAGTTTGCGACACTTCAGAGAAGATAAGCCGAGGAGACGGCACTTCGGAGGTCTTCAAAGAAGGCATGTAAGAGTATTTGGAATGACATTGAGACTACAAGGTGAGCGACAGTCAACCTAGACCGGGAACGTCTAAGATGGCCTTCAATGAGGAGTCGCGCCATGTGGACGAATTGACTGCAGATCTGGCGAAAAAAGATCAGACGCACGCAGCTAAGTAGGCAGCAAAGGCGAAGGAGTTGGCAGAGTGTGAGGCTGCTCGGTCTTCGGAGCTGGAGCAGTTGGAGAAGTTAGAAGCTGATTGCAATGAGATGTGATCGCAGCGATCGGTAGCAGAAGACCAGTTGGGCGAGCTAGAAGCGAAACTGCTAGAACTGGAGGAGAGGAATCGGCAGTTAGCGGAGCAGACGAACAAAGCCTTAACCGAGAAGGTGAAACGATGTCTTCGCTATTTTGTGATATGGCAGATCGAGACGCAGAAGTGGTTGAAGTTGCGAGATTTGGAGCGTCAAGTGACGGCGATGATTACGTGTAGTGTAGGTGGGCAGCGACAATTAGCTAGGAAGTGAGATTCGTTTCTCTCTGGTTTGAAAGAGACGAAGGAGAACATGGAATTAGAATTGTCATCCGTTTTGCGTAGGTTAGGGTTAGACAGGAATTCAACGGGCGTGGAATATGCCGGGTTTGTTGGCGTCGCGCATGTTCGTAGGTCACTACATAGTGAGTGATATCTTGGAGTGTTAGTTAGGAATAAAGGAGCCCAAGGCTTTGGCCTTGGGGGGATTCTCAGTAGTTAGTTTTCTTAGTATTTAGCCTGCATTCTCCACACGTCCATGAGATTGAGTTTTTGTCACCTTGCGTGAGATACTTCGGTTTGTCAAAGATACCGCATTTGAGGTAGAAGCTCCAATTTGGATGTTCTTAGTGATGTAGTGCTAGCTCATGATTAAAGCAAATCTGTTAATTAGAAGCACTGTTCAGCTATCTGAATGTATACTTCAGAAAGTTTTTCCCCTGAATACCAAGACAGAGTCGCGATCTATCTCTGTAGAACTTGATTGGATCAATTTCAGGAATTGAGTGTGAATCTATGCTGCAATGTGTTGCCTTCGGACTTAGCAATTACTGTACATCTGGGAGTGACATGCGCTTGAGAAGCCAAACTCTTCAATAGACTGTTAATATGTGCCACTTCTTTGTTCTCTGTGTTATTTCTGTCCTCTTGTAATCAGATCTTTACCATTATGCTCAATTTCGGTAATTATCAGTAATTACACGTGACGTTAAATTTTGTCTCTTGATTTTTGTATTCAATAACTCACTAATATAAATCCAAATTCTTTTACCATTAATTTAATGTATGTTGCCTTAATAAATCTTCTTTGTAAAAAGAAAAAAAAACTACTATTATGTTCATTATGTAAAAAAAGACACCTAACACAAAATGATACCAAGTATTATAATTTGATATTTAATTAAATAATACCATGATCATGAATTATCGTTATAAATTTTTTTTCAAAATCTATAAAAAAATTCTCAACAAATTTAAATTTTTCTTCATGCAATTTTTTATTTTTATATAATAAGATAAAATAAATTAATTATGAATGCCATGAAGATGTAATATTCAGATTACATCTTCAGTTGAAACAAATTGAACTTTCGTCTGGTGACGAGCCACAAAGATATATGTGGCCTTTCAACTTATGATAGTTTATTAATATATATGTATATTTAATATTAATTTGTGATAATCTTTTATAAATTAACTCAATACTATATTTCTTCATTCTCTATTCTAACTTTCATTATGATTTACTTCATATACTTACATGCTAATAACTTGGAATATCTTATTGGGAACTTGCCTGATGAGAGATTGAGGTCTTACTGCAAGGCAAGGTAATGCCTTGCCTTACATGAAGTACAGAGGTATATTGGCCTAGAAATTCCAATATAGTCTACCAATGCGTTGTGAATAAAGGTGTGAGAATAATCTTGATATGATTCTCCACCTCGTGAACAAGTATATGATAATCTTAGAAGTGCCTTTCAGATATCACCTGTACAGGTTCTAATGTACAAGCTGGTGGAAAGTACCGATCATTACTCGCAACGAAGTACGGAGATGAATACGTTCCCGAGGCAAACCTGCTCTCATAAATGCAGGGTACTGGGGGCACTGCTTTCCTCAGTGTTCCTTTCCATGTCAGATGTTGACATACACATTTCTGTAGTAATTGGCTTTTGGCCAGTGTCAGCAATGTGGAGGGCAATCAATCAATGTGGAGAGTGAGAAATATCCTACACATGGAGCCTTTTGTTCGCTACGCACAGGGAAACGAGCAGCGAGAGGTTTCTCGGCGGGTGAAGCGTGCCGGTGAGGTTGTTACTCGCTGCTTGCAGTTGTAGAGGCTGTCGGGCAATTTCCCGTCCAGGTGGTTGCTGCGGATTTCGAACACTAAGAGGATGGCCACCTGCCCCAGGTTCTCGGCGAGGCCGCCCCTCGTCACTAAGGGCTCCTCAGAAAAGGGGGAACGCGAGCTCTGCCCTCAGCCCGACTAGGGAGGGCCGCCTTCCGACACCTGTCTTAAATACACTGCGGGCGCGACCTTTTCTCTTTCATCATCGTAAGAAAGGTCGTCCACCATATTGAGTGGCACACCAGGTCGTCATATAATAAAACCGTCCTACACTCCATATAAGAATGCAATATGTTCCAAGACCAAGATGTTGGGAAGAACTTTAGTCGAAAATTAAATTAAAAAACCCCTTCACTTTATCGCAGGATATGATACACTCCTAGTTCATATATACATGAAATATAAGCTCCAAGTTCTGCGAGAAGGTTCTACAACTGCTTATCATTCTTGCTACATTTGAATGGTCTTAATCGAAACAAATTATAAAGGATGCGCTGCCATATTTTCGCCCGTAGTGGTTTCGATCCTCAACTTGTGGACGGATATGCATCAACTTTGTAACACGGTACGTCTCCTAGTGACGGGGCTCAATCATTGGAGTTAGTTTTAACATGTGGCGGGTCTCCATTCGAAGCATTAGAACGGCCTGTACTAAATTGTAAATGACATTGGCGGAGGATTCTCCTGATCAGGAGGTCAAAGTCGATCTTGCTTGGTTGAACATGCATCTGATCAGCTTCCTGTGGACTGTCTTTCTCGATTCTAGCTGCAGTCTTATGGAAGTCGACACTTTCTGGAAGTCTGAGCGCATGTGGAAAGCGGCCAGGTTACGTTCAGCGAGTAGATCCAAGAATCACTTCCCAGTCTGATAGAGCGAAAGTGTGGAAGTCTAGTCGCTGGAAGTCGACCCCGTCGAGAGGAAAGGATTCCTGAGTTCTTCAGGGAGGAGCCACATGCATTTACGTCAAATGTGGTCCTATCACATAAAATGAAACGTGGTGGGTCCATCAAGTGATTTGAGTCTCCACGGTCCCATCAAGTAATTACTACGAAGCTTCTCCAATCTGGAGACAAAAGCTTCCAAGGGGAGTAATCCTGCAAACATGAATCGTCGTGGAATCTGGCTCTACTTTACACAGTCCGATTGGAACAACTCAGTGCAGACAACGCTGTGCTATGTACAGGCCCAGCAGCAGTAGCACATGTGTATGGCGGACAACGAGTCCCCATTCATGCGGAATCTCGTAAGCCCCCGCTGGACCCCGGGGTCCAGCCGGGTGCAAAGCGAGCAGTCGCGTACGCAGTAGTCAACTGCTGAATGATTCGGTCTATGTCGGTTCGTTGAACACTCCGTATCTACCGTCCTTGGAATGGCGAGCGAAATCTTGAGTACGCAGTAGCCAGTGTCGTGCGCAGGGCATTGTTCTCAGCGTTCCGATCACGACCCCGATCACAATCACGACCCCGATCGGAATTCCGATCTCGAAGGCCCGCCAGAATGTACCATCCAGGAGCTCGAACGACGGAGCCCCGAGTGAGGCCGAGCTTCCGATTGCGTTGCTGTCTTGCGCCGCACAAGTGATCTCGAGCGGGGCCCCGCAGAGCTGATCGTTCCCGGGCTTGAAGGACGAAATGTCGTACCTCGTGGAGAAAGCATTCGCCGTGGGAATCTCGCCCTCGAGGAAGTTGTAGGAGAGATTCAGATAGCTCAAGCTGGGCCTGCTCAGCACCGCAGGAATCTTCCCCGTGAAATAGTTGGCCGACAAATCCAGCGACTGGAGACGCAGCAGATCTTCGAAAACCTGAGGGATTTCGCCCGAGAAATTATTGTGCGTCAGATTTAAGTACGTCAACCCGCGCAGCTCTCCAAGCGCGTACGGGAGCCCCCCGGAGAGCTGGTTGTATGACAGGTCGATGGAGAACAGAGTCTCGAGGACGTACTCGAGTTCGAGTCGCGAACCTTTGGCCTCAATGGAGATTTGCTCGAGCAATTTCCTCCCCTCCACCTCGACCCGGACGGGGAGGACACGGTTGCTGACACTGCTGCCTCCGCCGGCGTCGTCTGGCGACGCTTCGAGGCGACTAAAGCCTTCCAACCCCGAGAGATTGGTGGGCCAGACTCCCGCGAATGAGTTGTGCGACAAGTCGAGCACTTGCAGCTCCGGAAGCTTCCAAATCCAGCCGGGCAAGCGGCCACCAAATTCGTTGGATGATAGTTTCAAAACTCGCAATTCGCGCATCACTGGCTGAGAGTACTCGTAATTGTCGGGGAGCTCCCCTGAGAATTCATTGCTGCTCAGGTCTAGGAGCTTCAGATTTGTGCAGTTGTACACGCTCACGGGAAACTCTCCGCCCAGCTGGTTCCCGTTGACAGAAAAGCTCTCGAGGGATCGCAGCTGCAAGAAGTCAATTTGAGTCACATTGCCCGTGAGCTTGTTGTTGCTCAGCCTGATGTTTCTCAGGGAGCTGCAGTTCGCCAGAGACGCGGGAATGGTTCCCGTGAGGTTGTTGCTGTGGAGGTTGAGATACCTCATGTACTGCAGTCGCCCCAGCTCTAGAGGGATTCCTCCCGTCAGAAAATTGTTGCTCAGATTGATCTCGTAGATGTTCTTCAGGTCAGCTAAGCTCGTGGGTATGGGCTCTGACAGCCCGTTATTGTGCAGGAAGAGCAATAACAAGCTCGGCAGCTTGCCGAGCTCGGCGGGAATGGGGCCTCGGAAGTCGTTGTCGTTCAGGAGCAAGAAGGTGATGAAGTCCGAGATGAAGTCCGGCTCCAGCGTGCCAGTGAGCCTGTTGTTCGATGCGTACAGGGTTCGGAGCCGCGAGAGGTTTCTCAGAGGCTCCAACGTGCCCGTGAGCCTGTTGTTCGCTACGTACAGGTTTACGAGCAGCGAGAGGGTTCTCAGCGGCTCCAGCGTGCCCGTGAGATTGTTCTTCCCTGCGAGCAGGTCTTGGAGCAGCGAGAGGTTTCTCAGCGGCTCTAGCGTCCCCGTGAGATTGTTGTTCTCTGCGTCCAAGAAAACGAGCAGAGAGAGGTTTCTCAGCGGGTCCAGCGTGCCATTCAGATTGTTGTTCGCTGCGTCCAAGTAACTGAGCAGCGAGAGGTTTCTCAGCGGGTCCAGCGTGCCCGTGAGATTGTTGTTCTCTACGTCTATCAAAAGGAACAGCGAGAGGTTTCTCAGCGGCTCCAGCGTGCCATTCAGATTGTTGTTCGCTGCGTCCAAGAAATCGAGCAGAGAGAGGTTTCTCAGCGGGTCCAGCGTGCCATTCAGATTGTTGTTCGCTACGTCCAAGTAATCGAGCAGCGAGAGGTTTCTCAGCGGGTCCAGTGTGCCATTCAGATTGTTGTTTGCTGCGTGCAAGTAATCGAGCAGCGAGAGGTTTCTCAGCGGGTCCAGCGTGCCCGTGAGATTGTTGTTCCGTGCGTTCAAGTGAACGAGCAGCGAGAGGTTTCTCAGCGGCTCCAGCGTGCCCGTGAGATTGTTGTTCCGTGCGTTCAAGTAAACGAGCAGCGAGAGGTTTCTCAGCGGCTCCAGCGTGCCATTCAGATTGTTGTTCGCTGCGTACAGGGAATCGAGCAGCGACAGGTTTCTCAGCGGGTCCAGCGTGCCCGTGAGCATGTTGTTGTCTGCGAACAGGGAATCGAGCAGCGACAGGTTTCTCAGCGGCTCCAGCGTGCCCGTGAGCATGTTGTTCCGTGCGTTCAGGGAAACGAGCAGCGAGTGGTTTCTCAGCGGGTCCAACGTGCCATTCAGATTGTTGTTCGCTACGTTCAAGCGACCGAGCAACGAGAGGTTTCTCAGTGGGTCCAGCGTGCCCGTGAGGTTGTTGCTCGTTGCTCCCAGCAGAAAGAGCTGCGTGCAGTTGTTGAGGCTGTCAGGCAATTCCCCGCCCAGCTGGTTGCTGCTGAATTCGAACTCAAGGAGGTTGGCCAGCTGCCCCAGGTTCTCGGGGAGGCCGCCGGTGAACTCGTTGTTGAACATGTAGAACTCCGTCAGCGCCGTCATGGCCGTCATGGCCGTCACAGCTCTGGGAAAGCCGCCACGAAAGTTGTTCCTGTCGATGAAGAGCTTTTCGAGCCGACTCCACGAAGTGGACTCCACTGTCAGAAAACTCCCCGTCAGGAAGTTGTTCCCCACGTTCAGAAACTCGAGCTCCGACAGCGACGCTAGCTCCACGGGGAACTCTCGCTCCAGGGCGTTTTTTCGCAAGTGCAGAAACTTGATGTTCGTCAGGTTTCCGAGCTCGGATGGGATTGAGCCTGTGAAATTGTTCTGCTCGAAGCTCAGATACTCCAGATTGACGAGCTGGCCGTACTCTCTTGGAATGGGACCCGTCAGAAGGCTGTTGCCGGAGAAATCCAAGTACCACAGCTTCGTGCAGTTGGCGATGGACTTGGGAATGGGGCCTCTCATCTTGTTCGACCGGTTAGGGTAATATTCTTGCTTGGAGTCGAAATTGAAGAGCGTGCCCAGGGCCAGAACCTCGAGCTCAGAAAGCAAACCCAGCTCCTCCGGAATGAACCCATTGAAGAACTCGCCCTGTTCTCCGATGTAGAGGACTCGTAGGCTGGACATGTTGCCGTACTCTGCAGGAACTCCACCGAAGAGAAAATTGTCGTGGACGTTCATGGTCTGCAGCCTCTGCAGCCGACCCCATTCCACGGGAAGCTCGCTCAACAGGACATTGTGGCTCAGATCGAGGTCCACGAGGTATTCGAGCTTGCTCAGCGAAGGACCCAAAGTGCCGTTCAACTTCAGCCCGGAGAAGTTGAGGGAGATCACGTGCAGCTCATCGTCGCAGATGACCCTCGTCCACGAGCAGTAGGTGGAGCGATTCCCCGTTGTCCATCCATCCAAAGCGTTGTCCGTGTAGCTTTCGATTTCGGCCTTGAATTGCAGGAGCGCATCGGCCTCCCTGGGACAGTGGCAACACATTGGACTCGTATGACGTTAGAGATGAATTTCATTCACTCGTCCGAGCATGCGCATTGCTGTGCACATGCTCGGACGAAGGACACAAGCGACAGGTGCAGAATTGTGCACTTCTCTATCAGATGATATCTTGCTGCTAAATGTCACTGACCCGAAGCTGTCTTGGAGCAAAGTGCGAGATATTGCTCTGGAGTGTGCAGATTCCTCCTGAAAACGATGGAGAGGCTCATGACGATTCGTGAACGAAGTGTCGATGGCTTGGTCCTGAAGTTTAAACTGCTGCAGCTCTCGCTGGCTCCTGGGACCGCCGTGTACTTGTTGCTGGCCCATATGCGCTTCGACGGAGGAAGCCGGAGGAAATCCACTCTCGATGTTGATGCTGCCATGCTCTTTCACGGCCGATTCTGCACTTGCATCGAAATCTGGATCCTGGAGAGTCTCATCAAGAGTCTCGATTCTGCTTATTTCTCTGAAGGTGGTATCCTCCTGACCAACGGCGTAAGCACCGAGCTGGAGGCAACATAGCACCAGAATCGACAGCATCCTGAAGCGTTCGCGGAGAGCGGGCAGATTAGGAGAAGAAACGACCGATGCCCGACCTGTAGATCGTCTGAGTAAGTGCATGGTGTCCACCTCCAGAGAAATATAAAATTCAATTCTCCATGTACTACTCAATCTCCATGCATCGTGGAATTGCGAGACAGCTAGCTAGCCCAGCAGTGAACGACGCTGAGAACTACGTGATTCCCAAAAAGTTCAGCCGGTCCACAGTGATCTTCATCATCTAAACTCGGACGACTAGATCGCTAAATGACCAGCCCGGCGTCTCCTCCGACTTCGAGCTCCTCCAATTCGGGAAAAGACCTGCCGATGCACATCTCCTGGCTTGCTCTCCGGACGCGGTGACGACCGAAGAGAAGACTCGTACCAGAGGTCGTTTGAGTTCTATATCCTGGAGAGAAGAGAGAGAGAGATAAGAGACAAAGAGAAAGAATGAATCCTCCGTCGTGAACAAGTATATGATAATCTTAGAAGTGCCTTTCAGATACCACCTGTACAGGTTCATATGTACAAGTTGGTGGAAAGTACCGATCATTGATCTCAACGAAGTACGAAGATTGTATCACAGATGAATACGTTCCCGAGGCAAACCTGCTCTCATAAATGCAGGGTACTGGGGGCACTGCTTTCCTCAGTGTTCCTTTCCATGTCAGATGTTGACAGACACATTTCTGTAGTAATTGGCTTTTGGCCAGTGACAGCAATGTGGAGAGCAATCAATCAAGAGAAGAGAGTGAAAGATATCCTGCACATGGAGTGTATTGAAACACCTATCGTGCACCTTACTTTCCCTTCGCTATCAAATAACTCGAGGTTTTTGACGCCGTCAGTTTCTGAGGCGAAGCGGATTTCTTTACAAGAAGGTCATTGACGAAAAGAGTTGAAGGAAACATGCAAGAGAAAGTCGCCTTCCCAGGGAACGACTTGGTCGATGGATAAATATAAACCGATATGTCTGCGACTAATAAAAGTGAGAAACATTTTGAACTAATGAAGCAAATTTGTCTCCTGCCGATATTCGACAAAATATGGTATATTGCAGTAGATCGGTGGCCGGATTCCACTGTGATGAACACTGCTTCAGATATTTCATTAAGGATAACCTTCACTAAACACGTGCAGTGGCTAATAGGGTGAAGCATGTGTGCTGTCAAGACACCGTCATACTTGTATTTAATGCACATGCTTGTGAGTAGTTGGCGTAAATTTACACAACAGCATCATGTACGTCATTCAGTAAAAAGAGCATCCGAGATAATTTCGGATGCTCTTTCTTTTCCGAGATAATCTCAACTTATTTCACTTTATTAGGCGGGATGGAAGAGAGTCTCTCCAGGCACTAGGAGAAGGACAAGGAATACTCGGATATTTATCAGGTTCAATTCATGTTTTTATAAAGTAATGTAAAATCTGAGCTATATATTAAAACTTAATCAAAATAACAGTTATTTATATCTGTTAAAATCCATATCAAAATCAATTTGATCAAGTCACATATCGCAGTAAACTAGACTTTCTAACTCTTTAAAAGGTTTAGTCAAAAGATTTGCAATATAACTAGGTAAATGTTTTAAATACCAAACATGAGTTACAGAACGTGCTAATTTAATATATCCCTTTTGATATTTTCCAATTTGAGATTACATAGATACAACTCCACATTGTTCACAAAATTTTATATTTCTTTTTTCTTTTCAATACCTTGATATTTTCCACATGCACAAATTCCACTTTTAATAGGTCCAAAAATTTTCTTGAAAAATAAACCATTCTTTGTTTGGTTTATGTGTTTAATAGTGTAATGTATTAAGTTTTGTTACTTGATCAACAATTTCACCACTGTTTTGGCCCAATTACTTATTTGTTCAGGTGATGCTAATTCAACTCGAAGATGTTGATGTTATTTTTATAAGTCATAACATAAACATTCCAAATTAGTTTTAACTTTTAAATTTCTTTTGATTTGAATTTCACATTTTTTTCACATGAATTTCTAAAGCTAAAGATCGTAATTCTCTTACAAGTAATAAATGATTCCGGAGCAGTATTTGCTTTCAGAATAGATTCTCCAGTAACGATAGCACCAAGAACCTCATAACGAGCTCGAATGTGGTCAGATTTTATAGTTAACACTGCTTGTAAAATATAAGCTACACCACAGCCTTCTAAAGCCCACACTTCAATATCACCAACTCTTTGACCTCCTCTTCTAGATCTTCCTCGAAGTGGTTGTTATGTAACTAATGCATATAGACCATTAGAGCGGGCATGTATTTTATCATGAACTTGATGAATTAATTTTAACATATAAGCTTTTCCAACCGTTATAGGTTGTTCAGAAATTTCACCTGTCCTTCCATCGATTAATCGACTTTTATCAGGATTATCTGGTTCAAATAACCATGGATTTGTTGTTTTTTACTTGCTTTATAAAGTTCAGAAAAGAATGACTTTCTTGAAGCTTCTCTTTCATATTGTTCGTCAAAAGGAGTTATTCTGTAATTTTTATGAAGAAAACCTCCTGCTTAACTCCACAAACATTCAAAAATTTGTCCTACATTCATTCATGAAGGTACGCCTAATGGACTTAATACCATATCTATTGGTGTACCATCTTGTAAAAAAGGCATAACTTGTCTTGGTAATATTTTTGAAATAATACCTTTATTTCCGTGTCTTCCAGCAACTTTATCACCTATTTGAATTTTACGTTTTTGTAAAATATAAATTTGAATAATTTGTGCTGCATTCGCAGAGTTGTCTTCTTGAGATATCATTCGAATATCAATAACTCGACCTCTACCTCCTGGAGGAACTTTAGTCAAGTTTCTTTCGAAGTTGCTACTTGAATTCCAAAAGTAGCTTGTAATATTTTTCCTTCTGGAGCACGTAAATTTTCTTCTGTTTCTTGAGGTGTTAATATTTCGACTAAAACATCTCCTGTCTCAACCCAAGAACCTGTTAATAAAACGCTATTTTGATCTAAATGACGAAGTAAATAATCATCTAAATGGGTATTTCGTTAGTAAATTTTTGACTTGTTACACGAGCTTCAGTTTCATATCTTTCAATATGAATTGAGGTATAAATATCTTCATAGATTAGACGTTCGTTAATTAAAATAATTGCATTTTCAAAATTGTATCCTTCCCAAGGCATATACGCCACTAAAATATTTTAACCTAAATCTAATTCGCAGTAGCAGCTCCGTCTGCTAAAATTTGTCCTTTTTATTTTTTTATTTTTTCTACTTTAGACTTTTGATGTATACATGTACTATTATTAGAAAGTTGATATATTATTAAATTTTTATCAATTTTTTTAGGATAAAACAATTTGATTACCATCAATATTATTTTTTTTTCCTCCCTGCAATGAGACAGTAACACTTCCCGAATCTAATGCTGTTTGACATTCTATACCTGTACCTATAATATGTTTTTCAGGTTTTAAAAGTGGAACTGCTTGACGTTGCATATTTGAGCACATTGAGGCTCTATTTCCATCATTATGTACAAGAAAATGAATAAGAGATGCTCCAACAGAAGAATATTGTAAAGGAAAAATACTTCGAAGGTGAACTTGTTCCCATGCAATAGCTACAAAATCTTGTGGATAGCGTGCAGAAGTAATTTGTTCTTCTGGACAATCTAATGCTAAGCAATTTCCAGTAGTAGCTATTCGATAGTATTCATCTTCAGCGGCAGATAAGTTAATAATTTCTTCTAAATGGATTTATTTAAATTTAAATTTATGGATTTATTTAAATTTTTTATAAAATGGACATTCTTAACAACCTAAAATACTTATTTTTGCATGAATAGCTAATGAAGCCATTAATCTAACATTCCTTCCTTCAGATGTTTCTATAGGACAAATTCTTCCATAATGACTAGCGTGAATATCACGTATTTGAAAACTTGCGGTTTTTCTTGTTAATCCACCAGGTACTCTAAAAAATAATCGTCTCTTATGAACTATTTCAATTTATGGATTTGTTTGATCTAAAAATTGAGACAATGAATGTGAACCAAAAAATCTTTAAACAACATTATTAATGGAGATGATGTTACTAAACTTTTTGGAGTTGGTAATCGTTTTCGTTTTGTGGCTGTTCGTAAAATCTGTCGAACTGAATTTCATAAACGGTTTAACGCTTATTTTAATTGATCTTGTAATAAATCTGCTAAAGAACAAACACATTGATTTTTTAAATGATCTATATCATCAATTGTACCTATTCCAAATTTTAATTTGATTAAATAATCAACAGCTGCTAAATTATCTTGTGGTCATAGAAGAACTTCATTTTAAGGAACATTAAAGATTAAGTTTTTGTTTAAATTCTATACAATTTTTCCTAATTCACATCTCTGTTGAAATTGTTATTTTTTGTAATTCTTTGCATATTGATTCAGAAAAAAAAGAATCTCCACCTATGCAATATAGGTGTTTATAAAGTTCCACTATAACATCTTCTGTTGAATTTGGAATATTTTTTTTTTATGAACTTAAAAAAAAATTTAGAATAACAAACACTGTCTGAAATATTTTGTAAATTTAAATCCACATCTAATAAAAAACTGAAATAGAAACTAATCCTTTTTTACTTACACGTGCCCATATTCTTGTTTTTTCATCAATTTCTAATAATAATCTTTCTCCCCAATTGGAAATTAACTTTCCAGTATATATAAAGATTCTATTATGATCTAATTTTGAATTATAATAAATTCCAGGATTTCGTAAAATTAGATTAATTATAACGCAAGCCACTTCACTAACAACAAAAGTACCTTGAGAATCCATTATAAGAATACTTTTAAGGAAAATTATTTCCTTTTATTTCATTTTTGTGTTTTTACTTTTTTTTTCTCTTGTGTCAATTGAGCTGGTAAGTAAACGTCGGATGAGCAGATAATAGATTAATAGACAACATCTTTTAATAATGGTTATGCTAATTGATATTGTTCACCAAAGATTTGAAACTCGAATTCTTGATCAATATCTTCGATTATTAAGTTATTATTATTGGAAAATTATTAAGTTCTTCATTCAAACCTGGATTTAAAAACAATTAAATCCTCCAAATTTTAATTTACTAAATTCAGAGAGTATAAAAATCTCCATATTTTCCTCTAAATTTTTATTGGAGTGTATTTTTTAATCATTAGAAATGTATGCCATTAAAAGAAAGAAATAATATTTCTCTATGTATTAAAGCCTGATACGTTTGAAATGTTTTTCAATTTACTATATTATAAAAAATCCATCATAAGATTAAACAATCAAAAAATATCAAAAGATTTATTTTAAAAATACTTATTTATCCATTTCAAGATATATAGAAATAAAAAGAAATTTTTTTAGAAAATTGAAAAAAATAAAAAATAAAAAATTGAAATAAATTTGTATATCCAAGAATAAATATAATACAATATTATATTATGTCTATTTGTAAAATCTGTTGTATGGATATCATCAAAATAATAATGAAGTATTAATTTGATGATTTTCTTAATCATCATTATAAAAATGACTTGGAATAACTCAGAGAATTCCTACTGTAAAAGTACGTTGAAAGGAAGGCGGTGGTTTTCCTTAAATCTGGAAACATAAAATCACATAATCTCGGGGTCGACGAACATGATTGAAGAATTTGCGAGTTTTCACTTAGATCTCGCCTTTTTTCCAACCGTGAGATCGCATGTGACGCATCTAGGTTTCACCTCAGTAACTGCGTCATTGCCCCAAGCGAAGAAGAGCCGAAGAGTGGTACAACAAGACTTTTGGCTAGATCGACCCCGACCGTTTGCACTCCAGGCTGACGGTATACGCACGCCGCCTCTGTCCGAAACGAACCGTCACCGTCCAAGACAGGTTTCGACGAGTGATTAGTTTCGACTAGTGACGAAGCCGTCCCGGCATTTTACTCTCGCGTTTCTTCTTGGAGCTGGCGATGGTGTCACCGCCGCCACTTCTTGGAGC